CACACACACACACACACACACACTCACAATTAGAGTGGTGTTTCATCTCTCAGTGCAGCGTTAATTCTTTCAGAGCGAGGTAATACCACTTGAGGTGGCTCAGTGTGTCCTGTCGAACCGATGTGAATGGATCTTGTGTTGTTGTGTTGCTAAACATACCGGCATGATCGGAATAATTTTCAACACCAGTTGGCCTCAAGTGTTTACAACCAGGAAACAATATTACAAACAGATACAAGCATATACACATACACACACACAACCAGTGATGCGTCTCAAACTCCGACCTTATTGAGTCGAACAACAGTGTATAAACAAATCTAAAAAGAAAATAGGAACTTCGTAATTGATTTCAGGATGTTGAGGGTAAATATTGCTGTGCACGATGTCTGCCTTTGATAATTTGAGGGAAAGAAGGGGGTGGGATGTGCTTGTGTGTTTGTATGAGAGTGTGTGTATGCGTGAGTGTGTGTGTGGTGGGGGGGGGTCACTTTCTTTGTTTAGAATCAAAGAGGATCAAAAAGCACGACTGTTCCCCTTCAAATTCAACCCCAAGCATTTTCAGTTTGGACCTTTTATAAACTCTAAGCCTTTATGTAGGGGTTTGGCATATGGAGACATGAACCATGTTGAGTCAGAGGGAAATCGGAGACTACCGCCATATGTGTAACATATGTGCCGTGCAAAAGATCTGAGTACCGGAGCGTATTCTTCACGCCAGCAGCAGCAGCAGCAGCAGCCATGTTTCTTCATGAGAAGATGGAACATATGAGGAACTAAGAACCCAGTCATCAGTGTCATCTCAGCAATGTAAAAGGAACACACTTACTTTTGTCATACACTGAACACATATTTCTGAGATGCCCCTGCGACCGCCGACCGTGCATTACTTCATCGTGGCACAGGTGATTCATCACGGGCTCGCCGGCCGATTGGCAGCTTGCTTTTATTGCAATTAGTTGACCATGAACAATATCCTCAAAGCGTTGGGTGATCACGTTGCGTCCTGTCGGGCAGATGGAATGTTACTTGACATGAATACAATAGTGTTTCTAACCCAGCCTGCAGCGAGGTGCAGGGTCAGTGACGAGACTGTGCTGAGAATTATTATCATCTATTTACACGAGACTTAAAACCAGGGAAATAAATCTTCTTCCTACTCAGTGAACTCAAACAAATTCAATTCTGTGTTTCCTATTGTAAGCACACTATCCACATGGAATGCCATAGAGGATCGACACACGTATATGTATACATATTTATGTTTTTTTTATCATCATCATCATGACTGGGCCATTTTAACCACTCTGTTATGGTGATGTACTGTAAAACCCATTGTTTTGTTCACCCATAGGAGGCGCTGGTGTTTTCATATGGGACAGTTGGCCTACATACACTTCCACTGCATTTGGTGAGGTTCCTGTGGCTGCCTGCTTTGAATGTCTGTAGCCTGATAGGTGACCGGTTCCTACCGCTGGTCCCTATTCAACCCTCTCCCTGAGATCCCATGATAGGTTTAATATGTGGTGCACTGTGCTATACAACACGTGGTGAGATACAGAGATGAACATGTGTTAAGTCCAGCGACTGACTTAAACGTTTAAATAGTGAAGATAAAACTGACCTGTGTCATCTTGTGTCGATGGTTTTCAGTGCACGCTTCAGTAACAAGTCATTCCTTCCGTAATCATGCTTTGACCATTCTTGACGTCCATGTCATGTTCTCATGTGATGTTCTCGTGCCGTGTTGTAAATGTGTATGTGCATGTGTGTGTGTCAGACAGGGACGATTGTGTCTTTAATTAATTTGCTCACAATAATTCAATAACTTCATGTTCATTTTACATTTAGAGCCTCAGCATTTCTAACTGCTCTCCATGGAAACACTGCAGCATCTTCCTGCTCCAAGTCCACAAATCAATGCTTCCTCTTCTGCTGTCTCTCACAGGGCAGTGACAGCGAGTACGAGGTGGACCCCAACCGACAGAAGACCCACTCCTTCGTCAACCACTACATCAGCGACCCCACCTACTACAACTCTTGGCGCCGCCAGCAGAAGGGTATATCCCGGGCGCAGGCCTACAGCTACACCGAGTCTGAGTCGGGTGACCCGGACCACTGCGCCCCGCCCCCGCTGCCTCCTCTACCTCCGCTGCCACCCCAGCTCAGTTCACCTAGCCCCCAGCCTCAGCAGGCCCAGGGTCAGCCCCAGGGCCAGCCCCAGGGTCAGCCCCATGGTCAGCCACAGGGCCAGCCCCAGTGCCAGCCCCAGGGCCAAGGCAGTCTGTTTAGGCCAAAAGGTAGCCGGACTCCCACCCCCTCCCAGCAGAGCTCCAACCCCCCCAGCCAGCACAGCACCCTCTACAGGCCCCCGAGCAGTCTAGCACCAGGATCGCGGGCCCCAATTGCTGGCTTCTCCTCCTTTGTGTAAAAAAAATCCTGAAAAGGACTAGAAAATTTCTGGAAATATCAACCCAACTCGTGTTGAAGGAGAACATTGCATTGCCTAATGCGCGGTCAACCCAATCAAGTCCTTGTTTTTCATTGCTTTTCTTTTTGATATGTAATTTTTTTCTTATTCAGCCTGGATCAACACTATGAGACCTTGACCTTTAGCACTTTTTTTGTCTAATGAGTGTATGTGTGCTAATGTAGACTTCGAATTCTTTCACTGGTTGATAAAATACTCGCGACAACTAATTCACTTTTATTTTGCTAGTTGAACTATTTGCATGACTTTTTCTTACATTTATTTCCTACTCTTTTGTTACTTTTGTTGGAGCACATTCAAATGGTCATGTCTCTGATTATGTACAAAGCCACAAGAATCTCTGAACACACATGCATATAAATATACATATATATAGTAGATGTACCTAGAAGACAAAATCATGCCGATGCTGAGTATGCATTGAAGGAGACTGATGATGAAGATGGAGCCATGTTTGTAGAAACGAAAGGACAAACGTTTATTTGGATGGCCTGGATGTAAAAACTAAAAAAAGAGGAAGAATTAAAGGGCGGACGTGGATGTGGAATTAATGCCAAATCAAACATATTTTAACGTGTTGGCTGGAAGAGTTTAAAGTGGACATTGGAGGTGCATTCTCCATGGAAACGGCTCTCTGGCCTTTAGCACACATACATAGAAAAGTAGGACATCATTAGGCCACGGCGGGTCAAATGTGACTGTGCTGTGCCTGAAGGATCCTGTGGATATATGAAGTGAGTGTATATCTGTTGAAGTGATTTAGTCTTTTAAGTCTTTTTTGTGAGTGTATTACAGTGAATCAAAGATGCCTTGATAGAGAAATACTTATTTATGATATCTGGCACCTGAAAATGCTCACGGTGCCCCTGACTGTGGCATCGTAATGGCTGGCCTCGCGCTACTAGAGCCATCTTTTAATCCTGACAGATGTGGGCCGTGAATTCATTTGCATACACAACCCATAACTTTTTCTTTCCACCCTTTGCTGGCTCTCGTATACAGTACACACACACACACACACACACACA